CTTAGCTGTAAGCTGTGTTCTGGAAGCTAGGTAAGGCTGCTACACCTCCTCCCAGCTTAGGAGCTGTTCAGAACAACATTTCCCTGAAAAGGTGGTACCAAATCCAAGTTCACAGATGAAAATGGGCGGTCCAAAAGCAGACTCTACTAAAGTGGACTTATGTAAATTCCTGCCAGGGACTAAAGTCATATCAAAACCAAGAAGCCTGAGAGACAAGCTCATGAAACACCCAGTAACATCTGACAGCGCGTCCTGTAATCAGTTCCTACCTCCTATGAGAACTGTGGCTACCACATGGCAGCCGCTCGGCACAGTACAGCACTGATACTATTTAGGGACACGTAGGGCACCACTAGCTGTACTAGCACACAGATCCCACCCAGCTACACTGCTGGACCCAGAAATAATAAGCATCCTCTTCTTCATGTGAAGCTCCATTCTGAGTCCTGGGCTCCACCCTGAAGCACTGCAGGCAAGGGGAAGGAGCTGAAGCTTGCCCCTGCCTCCTGCTCGTCACTGAAAAAAGACACTGAAGCGTCTGTTGTTGCCATGGGAATAGAGATGGCGAGTGCTGGGAGCACCAGCATAGAAACTGCCTTCCTGCACAGCTACTGCAAGCTACGAGAGTTTTTTTAAAAAACAACGTACAGAGCTCCCACACCCTGCGTTTTGAGACAAAGCTGTTCATCTACTACTGGTCTCATTGTTTGCTTCCAGTGCATTGTAAGACCCTTCAGTGCACAGGGTATCTGTTCCTAACGCAGTGCTGCTTTTCTGTTTCACCAAGAGCATAATTTTGTCTGATTAGAAACAGAAGTGGCTGAATCTTGAGGCCTGTACTTACACATTCTTAGTACTAACACATGTTGCATTGCGATGGGGCCACATACAACAGTGTACCCAGCAGGATGCAAATCAAATTAGCTAACTGCTTGTATACCTGTTTTCAAAGAAAACAGGAGGAAAAGCTGACAAAGTTCACACATACCTGTAGTCTGTCACATCCTAGCCACAGCAAATACTGGCCAGTCCCCGAATTTCCACAAATTAAAGCTTACAGCTGGAAAAGGGGAGGGGGGAGAAATAGAAATAGGCACTTACAGCTGTTGGAAAAGTCTAATAATTTATACTAGCAGAGATGCAAGGTACAAATATGGTTTACTAGCATCTCTTGGGATAATCATGAATTAAAATATATTAATTTTCATCACAGCCTTCCTCTATTGGAGAGTGATTTCCTTCTGGTTCCCTTCTCACACACAGAAACAGCAACAGAAACAACCCCAGGGAAGTCCAAGCAGTTACACTACATTGCTATAAACAAAATGATAATTTGACCCCTCTATAGTTCTTAGTTCTCTGACACTGTGTCTTTCTCCATCATGAAGAGAGATAGTTTCTTTAATGGGTAAAATCTGTGAGAAGGAGAGGGACAATGTGTCCCAAAGGCAGCAGAAGTTGACAGATTAAAAAATGTCACTAGGAGCTGAGCAAACACAAAGGAAGGGAGATGAAGCACTGGAAAGATGTTTCATATAACTTGTGGGCTTAGGAAAAATCCTCAATTACTTCTTGACATTGCTTCTATGATTATAAATAAACCCTTTGACTAGACAAAAGTCAAGTTTTTCTGACTTAGAAGTCATTCAGTCTACTTGGTATGTACACTCCCTCTTCGCAAAACAAGTGCGGTATGACACCACAGAACTGTCTCAACACAGGGTAGAGCATTTTCTGATATTTCAAATTTACTTTTCATTTCAAATATACTTTCCATCCTTACATGATCCTAGGTGAGCCTTCTCACCAGAAAAATATTCCACATGACTCCTACAGTCTCCTGTAGCCCTTAAAAACAGTGAAAAGAAGGTCTCACTCCTAAGTAATTCTATCCATCCAAGTTTAATGCAAGCATGGCACTCTGCTTGAGATACAGATGACCCAGGTTTGTAAAGTCTTCCTTTTGCATATCCCCAAGAGGCCAATGGGGTTCTGCCTTGCCCAGATGTCTGCTGTAGTTATAATGTACAGGAGAAAATGCCTAAATAAGCAGGACTACAGACATACAATGAAGTGAGAAAACTAACTTCTAGTCCTCTACAACGAACATGCAGAATCACAATCAAAAGGCCTATGTATTGAATTAGTTGAAGAAGCCCATAGCTCAAAGTCCAGTCTCAAGATCTGGGTGTGAACCACAGTAGAAATCTGCTGATGACCTTAATGAGAAGTTCATCTGAAACATATGATGCTGAGAAAAAGCACTGCAGTCATCCATATGACTCACAGTAAGTTTGTCCCCAAAAGACAAGGAGAAATCCTGAAAAAAACAGAGCCACAAGAATGATACCACTCTCTTCCTAAAAGAAAACGCAGAACAGTTTCATCTAGTATTAATAAAATCAGCCAATAACTTAATCAGGGCAGAGTACGTACCAAATAAGTTAAAAGATACAATTATATCAATTTCAGCAGGACTGTACTTCATCCTGGTCACCTCTATTGCTCTCATTCTATCTCTGTACTTTCAAAAGACTTGAGAAAGCGTTAACTATGGAGTTTCATCTATGGGTGACATTAGCCACTACCTCACAGGTGCTTTTCTTCAAGCCTGTGTCAACATCAAGGACACAAACCCAGAGTCCACACACACTGTCAAACAAGACGATGGTTGGCAATACTGCAGTATCCAACCATTTCTTGCCTCCAACAGAAAGATGGTGGTAGGAAATTATCCTCCTCTCGTAGAGCTGCCACAGAGCTGTAGTGAGGAGTGACAGAGGTGACAGTCTACTGGTGCTGAATAGACAGATAGGAGAAAAGATAGCAGAAAAGAGGAGGATGCATGCAGAAGGGAGTGAAGAAGAAAGTTAAGAGAACTGAAGGGTGAGATGAACAGACATACTATATTAAGCAATTTTTTATCAGGACAATAGAAAATTGATACTGAACGATACAATCCCCTTGGAAATTTAACTTTCAAAGATAATTGTGTTAAACTCATGGGACCATGGAGTGTAATGTTTTCCAGGAACACATTCATTAGCAACCTTCATGGTGCCAGAGCGGTGACAAAAAGAACAATAGGAAAATATAAATTTAAATGTTGACATTTATCTTTCACTCACTCTACTGACAAATTGACTACATTAAGCAATAGGGAAGATGCTGAAGCTATTCTAGACCAGAGTGATATTTTGTTCTCATTTGCACAGACACAAATCAGGAGAGAAATTAGGTAAAGAAATAAGCTAGTAAGGGTATTCATTTCCATACGCACTTATTTGTGTGTAATATATGCAATGTCCTTCCCCCTAGTTTGCTATTTTTAGTTTGAACTGAGCACAGTCTCTTGCCTAGTACCTCTGTGATTCATATCTCCTTGTGCCTCTAGAGACAAATACATCTAAATATATTTTAGAAGATCACTTCTTTCCACCAGCTCTGGAGAACAGTAAAAAGATCCATCATCACTTAACATGAAAACCCCTGCAAACCACATAGTTAGGAGAACAGTGCAGAGCAATATCAAGCTTGTGGCTGGTTTGGGTCTCTACTTCAGTGAGTTTGTCAGCAGTAGAGTCTATAAGTCAAGCAAGTGATTTTCACATAGCTGGAATTAGCCATTATGTTCGAAAGCATTTATCTGGATGCTAAACAAGTGTTTGTTTCCTGGAATAACCACTTATGGAGCATCCAGATTAGAAAGTACAAACATATTGGCTAAATTGAATTAAAGGCAGTCAGCCACTCCAAATTAAACACTCAAATGAAGATATTTCCAAATACAGTAGCAATAACTGAGCATCACACAAATGGGGTAGCCTCACATTCAAAACATAGGATTGAGAGTTATTAGATCTACTTCTGCTGCTTGTCTCTTCCTCTTGATCTCAAGTAAATTATTCATTGTCAAGATTTACATTTCCCCAGATTCAAAAAGAGGCAGTTAGACACACTGGCTTTAAAAGGCAATGTTGCAATAATTAATTCATTATTCTTTGCAGAGCCCTCTAAAATTATTAGATGCTGCTGCAGAAATGCTTATTATTAGTGCTATTATATACCACTAGAAATTCCCAAAATAACTCTGTCTTGGATAAATTTAGACTATTCTAAATTTAGTGGTACCTTGAGTCTTGAGCCAGCATCTTTTCATGGAGGTGTAAAATGAAGGAAGGAAAACATTCCAGCTGTGATCATAATAGAGTTACTCTTTGCACTATTCTATGCCCATCATTTCTTTCAGCACTGTATTATACACACATACACAGCCATAATGATAGCAAGCATGTGGAAGGGAAGACCAATCCAGTAAGCTCAGTAGTAAATGGCAAGGTGGCATTGTAAATTCTGCAGATGAAACCAGTGGCCTAGCTCAAGCCACGCTATAAATGGTGATGTGTCCAATATAATATAATTCTTTAGAAAAGAAGATTTTTTTTTAACTGGCTTTTTCAACACTTAGCAAGATCTGAACTCAATGGTTGGAAAAATGGCCTTCTTTTAAATTATGTTGTTTGCATAATATTGAGACATCTCTTCGACACTCAATTAATTAGGTCCATTTGCTCATATGAAGGCAAAACATAACTATATCTGCAGCTGGAACTGCTTTTGCTGCAAGTGCAGACTGGACAGATCTACACAAAAATGACCAGTCAGATGTTTAACAGTCCAGGCTGTACCTCTGCTCAAATGCATTTTCAAGACAGCTGTACCAACAAATTAAAGGTACAATTACAGATTCCTGTCTCAAACAACTGAATAAGACTGTGTGTGAATCAGAGTGAAAAGTGATGATAGGTAGCTTGGTACATTATCATATTTGCCTAATGAGAACAACAGGATGAATTTAATTTTCTTTATTGGTGGGAGCAGCAATTTCGAGGGAAACTGATCTTACCAAGTGACCATTTTACTTAACAACTTTTTAAAAGGTGTAGTCTATAACATATCAATGCAACCCAATTGACACCTCTAAATGCCCCATTCATTACCTGTTGGTCATCTGGAGTCCATATTCCACAGGTGATCTGACTCTCCAAGTTTATTTCTGAAGACCAGTGTCTTTGTCCACTGACTGAACCGACCAGCACAAATCCATCTCTATAGGAGATAAGTGCTTGAGTCCCATCATGGCTCCATGTAAAGTCGCTTACCTTAACATATCAAAGACAAGAAAACAGATGTGTGGGCCATGTAGGAATATTTTGTTGTTTTAATAAAAGGCAACACTGCACAGAACGAGACAGGGCACCTATTAACCCAGTTATAGCTCCACTGTCATGCCTATTAGAGAAAGCAACTGTGCTTTTGTGACAATTCTTGCATGTTCTCTTCAACAAAGAAATGTTTCATTTTCTCCTGTGCTTTTTGAAAGGTATAAAGCACCATTGATTGTCCTCTTCATTTTGCCTCTCAGGACGTGATCACTCTCAACTGAAGAGAAAACATGCATACCAACCTGTGCCCCACGATCATTCACAAGCTCCACAGACCATCTGCCTTCATATTGTATCCAAACAAATATTCCTCCATCTGCATCACAGGTTGCTAATTTCTGGAATGGTTCGTTCCATCTCACCAGCACAACCTTAAAAGATTGCAAACAAATACAGCATTACCAAAACTGCATGTTGTGCTAACAGCTATTTAACAAGAAGTGGTTAAACAATACTGCCAAATAAACATCATCACATTTACATCCTAAAGATGTACAAAATAGCAATTTTCAGCATAGCATTAGGCATCTCTCAAGAACAGCTGGAATTGTTTTTTCATGGTTGTCAGGAAATGCACAATCCCTCACCGTCAGACCTTTTTGGAAGGCACTGCACGCTTCCAATAAAATCATACTGTACACTGGAATGCAGCACTCCATTACAGAAGCAGCAAACAGGAGGCTCCGCGCAGACCATCCAACACTCCTTCAAATTATTCCCCTCACTGTAATCTCAGAGACTGTCAGACTCTACGTCAAATCATCACTTCTTGGTGACTTCAAATGAAGTTGCATGCACCAGTATCAGAGTGAATTTAAATACTCCTATTGAATACTCATTCAAAAAAACCCCCAAAAGTCCCATATTATTAAAAAATAGAAATTTCATAGGAAAGTTGCTTTGGTACTGCATGAAGAAGGAATACAAAGCAGCTTTAGGCTCTTCTCTCTGCATTAGAGCTATCTGGGCTTTTCTGAAGAATCTAATCAAGTCTAAACCTACCAAATTGCTCTCTCATTTTTAATTAATATCAATTTAACAAATACACTATCTCTTGAGACCTCAGTATAAAACAGAAAAAAAGCACGTCATCCCAGTGCTTGAAGCAAAATTAGCAGTAAAACCATTTACCTTCTGTTAGTGACTTTTTCTTAAAAACTTTTTTCCCAAAATTAGTTGTATTTCAAAAATACGTGGATATATATGGGATGCTTACATTCATACACAAGAAAATTCCCCCCCAGCTATTTTACTGAGACACAGTGTATGCAAATAAAGTAAACATATATTAAATACTCAATCACTAGTGTTATTTTAACTACTTAATAAGCATCCAGCTCTAATGACACTTTTTCATAAAACTATATAATTAATCCTCTAAAAGAGACGGGCAAGTTCTTCCTGAAATATATTTTACTCTTTACAGAGAGGGACTGATCTTCCTAAAGATTCCAGTCCTAAGATGAGCTCTAAGTAGAGAGACTCTTTATGCTTCACAACAAAATTAGCAGTCACTTTCAGAATTAGGATATAAATACACATATATACCTCAAACCTAAACTTGACAGCTGAAGGATGATCTTACACTTATTTAGTGAGTGCTACACTTATTCAGAGGGTCAGAACTTCAGAACATGTCTATCAGGGAAGCTCACCAGCCCAAAGCATCGACCCTTGAATGGTTAAATAACCACAAGAAAAGCATTTCTTTGTTCATATGCAAAGATTATGGGGAGAAGCAAGTAGGACAAACTACCTCACTGTTGTTATGCAGCTTAGAAGAATCCCATTTGAGATTCTGCAGAAAAACACTTGCTTCTACTTGACTATAACCTTGCAGCTGCACTCCAAGTCACCAGAACCATTTCCAGTCGGACAGATTATACCATGCCCCTAGATAGATTATATCACACACAGCTTTTAAAAATATTCTTTTATTGGAAGGGCAATAAATAAAATATTCCATCATAGCAATGCAAGCAGATGTACTTTGTTGGAGGTTTTGCTCTGTCCCTTCCATCTAAATAAGAATAGCACAGATTTGTCAAAATTTTGTTTTCTTTTTGGTATAAGTCCTATGCAAAGAGCCATAAAATTTCATCCACCCTGAGGCAAAATGCAACAGTGACATAACTGTACTTGCCAGCAATGCCTAACAGTATTATGAAAGAACTGAAGAAAAACCCAAGGATAACACTGAAAAATTTTCTTTAAAGGTTGGGAGTTGCCAAGGCTAATGATGACTATTAATGAGCAGAAGGTACTTACCATTGGTAAAAAACCAGACCTTTAAATGCTTAGGCACTGCTCACATTGGATATTTCATAGATCATACAGAATGAATTGCAAGACAAAATTTAAGAAGAAAAAGTAAACTAATTGTTCAACTAACGTGGATTTTTTAGCTAACACCATTGAAATTTTTAGCTAACACCTTAAAATCGCCAGACAAAACAGGGTAAAGATTTGAGAAGAGCATACAATTTTACAGATTAGACATACCAGTTGACCAATAATACGAATTATGGGCAAAGTGACAACAGTTACTTTGTTGCGGTTTCTTTTCTATTTTAAACAGGAATTTTGTTAAAACTTGAAAATTTTTATTCAAATTCTGTACAACCTGTCTTTTGTTTAGACTTGATAAAACATTCAAGGTACGTTTGAATGTAAACAAGATTAGCTATAGCCTCCCTCTATTGCAATTAGATACAAATTAGTAACTTCCAAAATAAACTTACTGTTTTATAATCAGAAAGGTGAGAAAATGATTTTATATGCCTTCTGATAACTCATAAGGAAGCAAATTTGTAATTTGAAAATTCAAGTCCTTCAAACACAAAGCAAATGTTACCATTTTATGAGGTCATTTTAAAGCTGCTGCCATAATCTACATTTAACATCTGACTACAGGCGCTGAGTCCACAACTGCTTCGAGTATTTCCAGTTTCATTTTAGACACTTAGCATACTGAAGAAGAGATAAAGAAATAAAGGATTGCCTTTTGGCTTTTATGTTGGCTAAAATGTAAAGCATATGAAAACATGTCCCATTGATAGCACACTTAAATAAAGCATAAGCTGGAATTACCCCTCTGCAAAGAGGAATTTTATTGCTAATCCATAAATGCAAAGATATCATTACTTTCACTAACAGCTTCAACTCACAGAGGACCCATTTTTACTTCTGCCTTTATGGTCTCTGCTTCCTACTTAACATCTTCACACAGGTACTGAAGGACTGAACTGTTATATCTTGTATTCAAAGGAGTAAGAATGCTGGTGCACAAAAGTCAGTTGTCTGTGGACAATTTGTGGTCCACACAGCCTTCTTATATTGTCTAATTATTTTTATTTTTGTTTGTTGCTCGGCTATGGGGTTTTTTTAATTCTAGAAGAATTCCAAAATGTATTCATTCTACTGTTGGAAAAAACGTATCACAGATGTTAATCAGTTTCTAAACTGCTTTCTCATACAGGATATGATCTCCCATGAATAAAACTTCAAGGAATTCCTGGTCTAATACATTAAGTACAATATGAAGGCCAACATAATGCCTTCAAAAAGGATGCTTTCCATCAAGGTCAATGGGCTTTCTTTGAGCTCCTTTGTATACAAGAAATCATGGTGAACAATTTGTTTCAGAAGTACAGCATTCAGGATCTTCAATATCTCTGTTTTAATTGCCAACTTGATTTTCAGAAGTTAAATTTAATTAATCCCAAAAGTGCTAGAAACAATAATCAAGAACTAATGGCATATTTTATTGTTGCTAACAATAGAAATTTTGAGTAACTGCAATTTTTGGAGTAGCAAATATGTGACTTATAGTAAACGTGACCTTTTTTCCAACCTGTAGTCAGGTAATCTAAATTTATTACATGCTATTGAAACTTTTATTAATTTTTTTCACATTTTCTAACACAATACAAACCCGCTAAAATCTAATGCATTCTGAGAGCTTTTGCTATTCCTAATTTCATTACAGTTTTTGAAGGAGATGATGGAAAATATGATACCAATCAATCTTCCAAGAGCAGAAGTCCTTAATCTAGAATACCATATAACAGTCATTACTGAAATCTTACTTATGTACATACATAATTGCTACAAAAGCAAGGGACAAACATCTACAAAAAAATAGAACGGATAAGTAACTAGGGCAATTAGTTCCTAGAGTTCCTTACCAAATTTAGATAGATTTTATTACAGATACACTGTAGTGAGTCACAGTGACTCATTTATTCAAATCTCTGATCCTCCATCCATTTTATTGGGGAACGAGCATATGCTCTAAAGATAGAGGTCTTCTCCAGCATTCATTTTCACACACACTATGGAGACGTGCTTGCAGACAGACTATTGCAGCAATAGAGTAGAGAATACTTGATGCCAATATTTGATTACAGTACTATTTGCTACACCTGGAGGGCCACATTCCTTTATGTGGCACGGGCATTTCTGAAATGACAAGTAAAATAGATATCTTTACAGGGTACACAGGATGTGATGCATTATAACTCCACTGAGCATATGGAATTGTCGGCCTTTCCCCCCAAATAAATCATACTACATTTCTAGTGCTATTGAAGGTGCTGAAATAATTCCACGTTCCAAGCAGCAACAGCAGAAGGCCTAAATGTTCCTAGGACAGAATAATAAAGGAGATTAGTCTATTGCCTACACTAGCAGAGTACAGAACTCAGCCCATCTAAAGGCATCTTTCAATCCTGTGCTTTTAGGAAAGTACTTAAGCTTTTAAAGGAACATATAAAGGTTGAAAGAAAGCATTGGCAAAAGGAACTCGACAATCTACCTAGAATCACTGAGCATCACCTATTTGCTCTATCAAGCAGTCCTATTATGCAATTCCCTAGTAAGTACATTGACCTTCACTCGTGGTTACAGGTATAGAAAAATGTGTGCATATAGTACATGCAACATACTGGTACATATTATGGTTTATTAACAGCCACAGAGCTGAAAAAATGTTTAAGTATATTTATCAAAGAAAAAGGATGAGTGCACAGTGGGGAACAGAAATCAAACACAGAAGTACAAGAACCAGAGAAAACAATAACCACTTTTACATGCTACTACAGTTCAGTGCCTCTCTCTCCATAATACAGAGAGATACAGATATATGTATATACATGTATAATGTGTATACACATTACATACATATAACATGGGTATGTGCATTAATACACATCCCTACCAAATCCTTGAAGGAACCTGTGCCAACTTTGCGCATTTGTTAGTTAACTAATTGAAGTTAGTTAACTGAAGTGGATTTTTATAACTAGAATATAATTTGAAAGTTACAACAGGTGCCCAGAATAAGCAGTAGGGTTGTAGTTAATGAGCTGTT